AGAGTGTCCAATCATTGTGGACACTATCTTTCAAAATAGCACTTCACTATTTTGTTGCGCTTTTTGTGTGTAGATGCTCTCTGTTGAAATAAGCTTTTCTAGAAGATCTCTCTCATTTCTAGAAAAGCTTAGTCTGAAAGAAGCTTGCAGTCTAGATGTAGCCCAAGAGGGGTAACTGACCATTTATAGGCTAGATACTCTGTGAGTGAGTTTCACCTGCTTAAGTCAGTTTTTAAACCTATTTTAGTTCAACCAATGCAAAATATCATGCCGTCACTCTTATTCAATTTAGTAAAAACCAATTCCTAATTGATTTATAAACCAAAATAAGACTGGTTTAAAGTCAAAATAAGCACCCACCCTGACTTTTACACTAACTCTGTTTAAAATCACCACTTCAGTTAAATTGGTACAACCTGAGTAGATGAGGTCTAGAATTCTGATTTTAATCTCAGTTGCTTCCATTTGAAATTTAGCTCCCTTTTTCTTTCCAAGGGCACTGTTAGAATATACATTCTGAATTTATACTGCAACAACATGTGACCATAATGTTGTATGGTACTTTCCCACTAAGTCTCCAAAACTGTTTTTTTTTTTTTTTTTAAGAACAGTATAATTTGAAAATGTCATTAAAATGATAGGCAAGGCATTTGCTTGCTTCATCCAGTCCAGTAATACATAACATGGGGACACTAAAATTGATCTCATATGATCTAAAACTGGTAAGAAAACATGACTGCTTATTCATCATGCAGTAATAAGTAGTTTGTATTTACATTGTTGTTTTACACTACAGGATCTCAAACACATTAATAAATGTGGATAGTATCCAAGTTGTATAGCTAGAGAAACTGAAGGACAGAGCGTAATCTTCTTGTTCAAAATCTCGGGATAGCTGTGTTAGTCTGTAACTTTAGAAACAAGTAATCCTCTGCCATCTTGGGCTGTGTCTAGACTACAGGGTTTTTTCGAAAAAACTTCACCTGCATCTAGACTACAGCTGCGTTCTTTCTAAATTAAATCAAAAGAACACGGCTTTTCTTTCGACAGCGGTACTCCTCATTTCACGAGGAAGAACACCTTTTTTTGAAAGTGCTCTTTCGAAAAAAGGCGTTCTTGAATGCAAACAGGGCTTTTTCAAAAGAGAGCATCCAGACTGCATGGGTGCTCTCTTTCGAAAAAGCGGCTCACTTTTTTGAAAGAAGAGGTTGCAGTCTAGACGCTCTCTTTCGAAAGAGGCTTTTTCAAAAGATTCTTTCGAAAAAGCCTCTTTTGAAAGAGGCTTGTAGTCTAGATGTACCCTTGGAGATTAACAAAGACATATAGGTTCATGAGCTTTCGTGGGTAAAATCCACTGATGAACATAACTCACTATGACTATAAACAACAGATATATAACATGATGTATATTTTTATAAGTTCATGCTTGTGTGTATGCTGTGTTAAATAAAAGCCTCCCTAAGCCTTCCACAGTGCATTTGAAATTGTGTAAAGTAAATACAACTGAAATACTGTGTCTACACATGAGCCTATTATTTTTTGTTAGTCTCTGAGGGCATGTCTACACTGGGAAATTATTTCAAAATAATAAATACATTTTGAAATAATAACTCCCAAAATAACTATTTCAAAATAGCACATCCACACTACAAGGCACTATTGAATAATGCAGAATTATTTTGAAATAGTGCATCCACGCTGATTGCAGCCGGCATTGCATGTAAAGCCTCCGGAAGCACTCTGGAGAGGGCACCAGGAGAGCAGTCATTTCCTGTAGTTGTGTCTCACACACCACTTCTCCACTGCCTACCCCTCTGTGGGACACCAAACTCATGCTGCATGCTCTGGTTGCCCTTGCGGATACCATAGCACTGACTACATGAAGCCGGAGCTGCTGCAATGCAGTGCCAGGCTCACCGGCCTCGTGTGGTGCAGCTGATCTTCACTGCCCACATTCTGATTCAGGACCACAATGACCAGCCGGAACTGGAGGACCTCTTCACCCAGGCCCTGGTTCATTTTCCCAATGTTGATTTTTTTGTATTTTTATAAAGGCAATTTTGACAAGTGTTTTCATTTAAAAATGTTGAAAAGCTCTTGTGTTTCTCTTTGTACGAGGAAAGTCCTTCAAGGGCCTTGGGCTTTCAGATACTTTGTGTCTTAGCATATTTAGTTTTGTTTCTCTATCAGACCACACTGTTTGGCATTGGCAACCCAACACCCACCCTACATGTTGGAAAACCTTTGAGGAATGGGACCGGGCAACAGTCAACCTGAATAGTCAATCAAAATCTTCATGCTACTACTACTTAACCTGTTAGCTATCTTTGACATCTTGGTCAAGGTTATACTACAGACTTGCCTGCAAAAGCTGACAGGCAGGGGTGGCCCTAGACTAGCTGCCAGCAACTGGCACCCTAGGCGAACCATGCAATTGGCGCCCCCACCTCCAAACCCCTCAATGATATTGCGCCAACTTTTGGCGCCCCGTTTAACCTGGCGCCCTAGGCGACCTCCTAGTTCGCCTATATGGACGGGCTGCCCCCGCTGACAAGTATACTCTAGGTTAGCTCAGATCATTCTTGGCTAGCAGCTGTACAATTCTCCTTTTACCCATAACTTTTCCCCCTTTCTGTTCCACACCAGTGCAAGACTGCTGAGAGAAAATGTGTGATGTCATGGGCTATAATGCCAGTAATGTGCCGAAAACATACAACTCTCTCTCTTTCCTATTCAATTCAGACAGTTTCCCAGCTGTTCTATTATCTGTAAGAAATGGGAAGCTGGATGAACTGAAGGAAGCTGGTGTGATGAACTTTATCAATCAACTGAACAATATAATTTAGTGGATCATGTCAGTGCAGGGTAAAATGAATTATATTTTCACTGCCACCAAATGAACCCTTATTTTCAGGGTTTAAAAGCCATGAGGACTAAGGACATTTCCCTGGGTCCTTTATAACATTGAAAAATAGTCTTGTTTCACTCTATTTCCTCACTTTTGCATAGTACTACTGTCATTTCAAATAAAATTGGATCTACTAAGTACAGTAAAAACATTAAGTAGAATTTATTTTCAGTCTAATCCTCGGCTATATACAAAAGCACAAAAAAAAGGAAAGGGGGCTTGACAAGCTGCAAAAGCAATAGTACCAAAATAAAATTTCTGAAAGAACCAATACAAGTATAGATAATAAACTATAATTTGTCTAAAATATAAATATTAAATTTTGACTTTGAAATCAGTGGAATTTCTGTAGTATAGGGTACTGCTCATTGTGAGAATATACAAATCTGGCATGAATCTATATTTATAAAGTTGTTTCCTTTTCCCCTCAATGCCTATCTTGGTGAACTGAAGAAACTTTCTGAAGAACGATTGCACCTTCAACCTATGTCATTAGACCTTCAGTCCATTCCCTTGAGAAGCCTGGGACTTTACTTCTATCCAAGCAGAGAATCTACCCAGATTTCCTTAATTCACAATTCTTCCCTTCAATGAAAACTTCTAGAATTTGAATCATATTACTTTTCTGGAACAGAAATCCTAACCTTATTGAAAGGGTCATGAGAGCTTGACTTGTTTCACCTAGCAAAATGAAGGTGGAGCAGTGATATGATTGCTCTCTTTAAATATATCAAGGAATTAAATACAAGGGAGAGTGAAGAGCTAAAGAACACTGGACACAAGTACAAATGGGAATAACTAAATAAAATGAATACATTTAGGCTGGAAATTAGAAACTTTCTAACCATCAGAGAAGTGAGAGCATGGACATGCCTCCTAAAAAGAGTTGTGAGGGCAAATAATTTAAGATGAAGTTTGGTATATTTGGTGCAGACCTTTAAAGCCCTGGGGGTCCCTTCTGGTTCATGTCTAATTTTCTTAAAAGCTCACCTTCAGATCTTCAGCCAGCCACCTGTAAGTAACACTGGACAATGAGGAACAGTGCTTTGAGGCAGTACTGAGAATTCTCTCTTGCAGATGCTTGTCTGCCTAGTTGTTGCTCACATGCTCAAGGTCAAATGGATCATCATATATGGGATGAAGAAGAATTTTTTCCCTATGTCAGATTGGCAGTGACTGAGATTTTTTTCACCTTCCTCGGCACCATGGCTCCCTTTGGGGATCATCTTGACAATTTTAAGTCATATTGTAAGTCTTGTTTATTAATAAAGGCCTTCCTCCCTCAGTAAAGGAGAACAGAATAATCAAATGTTTTCCTGAACAATCATCATCTAAGTGATCCTTCTTAGACATTACAACAGTTCTAACAAGTGAAGGTCAGAGTAGCTAAAATTAGATGTGCATGATGCCTGTATACGCCGATGATAATGACTGCATTAGAAAAACTTAAAAGATTTGTAGTGGCCTATTAGCTAGCCGGGATACAATATACAGCCACAGACATAGTCAACTAATTTTCACTGAGGTAATGAGAGAGATAATCACTACAAATGAAGCAAAAAACCTATTTTTTTCTTATTTGATTACCTGACAGCCTTGCCACATCTGAATCATTATGTGTTTCCATTTATCTATCTATATTTTTGTAAGTCTTGCATCACCACTGTATCTCCATACAATATGAAGTATACACATAGATATTTCTATCTTTCTCCCTTCTGTCCCCTCCCCATAGACAGTAGAGTCTGCAGTCCACTTGTTTTGCATAGATTTTTGTTTTGTCTTCCCTTTTCTTAAATAACGTGATGTTATTGAAGGGTGGATAAGAAGGTAGGCCAGAGAAGTAGGATTAGCATTTTACTGTGAACATGCTGATGTTCACGATTATCTGATCTCTCTCATGAGCTCCAGATTAGTTGGCTAATTGTCAGGAATTTCTTTTTCTTCCACATTCAAGTCTCACTCTTGAGATTACCCCAGTGGGTTGTAGATTTTGTGGGAAGTCATGATCATACAAGTTGTATCTGATGCCAATCCTATAGAGGGCTTTGAAAATGAGATCTGAAACCTGGAATTTGACCTAGTATTTGTCTGAGACCCAGTTAAGAATGGAGCACAGAAAAGTTGTCTTTTCAGCACTTTGCACTACTGAACAGTTGGGATAGTGTGTCCTGAGCAATTTCACCTTTTCAAAATTGATATTTTCAGATTACCATGCCTAATTCCAAATCTGACAGTTTCCCCGTCTTCTTTCCGGACATATAGAAAATATATTTGTGTAGCCACCACCGTCTGAGAATCCAGAAGAAATGAGGAGTGGAGATAAACACCAAGGCTGAAGACTACCTTAGTGATCTGAAAGCAGATAGCCTGAGAAGAGTTGCCAACTTCAGGGTGCAGAGAACTGAACTTCTTTGCCCCACTCTTACTCAGCTTCTTCCCAATACTCTACCAATTCTCCAAGCCCACTTCCTCCATCACTTGCTTCCCCCCCCCCCCCCCCCCC